GTTGGATAAAGTGAATAAGCCTAAAAGTAGGTACCAAGACTTATTATCAAACGATCTAATAAAAATGATACCACTAATTTAGAAAATACCGTAACTCATTATCTTATCAAAGATAAAACAATACAAACAAAAAAAATTAAAACAGTAAATAACGATACTGTCATAATTAATTGCATGAATGAAGAGAGTATTAACACTATAGAAAAAACATTACACAAAAAAATACACACGTTTGCTAAAATTGAAAAAGAGCAAATTAGGAAACCAACAGTTAAAGTTACTGGCATCAGAAAATCTTTCACACAAAATATGCGAGACATTAAGTCAAATATAAACCAAAGAAATTTCCACAATTATGATGACAAAGGTAAAGTAATACACACATACACTAATGAGAAATTGCAAACTATGACAGTTATAATGGAGGTATCAGCCAATTTGTACAAATACATTAGAGAGAATAAAAGCAGACTTTTTGTTGGTTGCCAAAACTGCAAAGTCTATGACATTATAAATACAAGCCCTTGTTATAACTGTGCTAGGTTTGGACATAGTGGGAGCAAATGTAAAAATGAAGCCACGTGTTACAAATGCAGCGGTAATCACACTGGTAGTCAATGCAACAATAAAACACAAACATGTCCTAATTGCACATACCACAATACTAAATACAAAACTAAATTTGATACTAAACACAGTGCAATTGACAGCCAATCTTGTGAAATTTTAAAAGCAAAAATAAACAAATACATTGAAATGACGGACTACCCGATAATGCCAACACACCAACGCTACTTCGGAAAAATAGAACACCCGGCTGCAGAAAAACCAACAATTAACGCGCGTCCTGCTCTATCAAGCGGCGCATCATTAGCGTCATTAGCCTCCAAATCCTCGCTCAACTTACATGGTAACAATAATACGAAATACAAATAAAAATGCATCCCATTGATGAAAATATTAGCAACGAAATTATTATTAATAACACTGATGAATTAAATGAGCACATAATAACAGAAAAGAAAATTATTATCTGTGTTAATATCAGAAGTTTGAATGCCAATTACACCAAACTTCTAACATTTATAAACAACCTACAAAAAAAACCAAGTGTTATAATATGTACTGAAACATGGAATTTACAACATTTCCTAGTCTTCAATATTGAAGGATACAGTATGTACTATAACAACAGTAGTATTAATAAGGCTGATGGCGTGGTGACCTATATCAGAGACGACATAATTGAATCAACAGAAATAATTCAAATACAAAATTTAAAAATTTTACAAACTACAATACAGTTAGAAAATGAAAAAACTACACTGTTAGCAGCTATATACAGATCACATGACCTACACAAACCACAATTCATACAATCGATCAAAACATACATAACTCAACACATAAAGAAAAAAAATTCAATATTAATAGGCGATTTCAACTGCGACATTTTAAGCCAAGATCCTTGGGATCAAGAATTCTTGCAAATGTTAATGGAAAAAGGACACCATCCAGGATTTAATACGATTACCAGACCTTCGCTGGACAACAACAACAGTGGAACATGCATTGATAATTTTTTTATAAAAATGGAAAATAACGCATACAAAACTTTCAACGTCAACACCCCGTTCAATGACCATTATCCACTAATAATGGCGTTGCAGAACCAAACAAAAAGCATAAATCACTCACATAATAAAAAACAAATTAATTACCGAAAACTTCAACATATAGCTCAAACTATAAATTGGAATGAAAATAGTGAAACTAATGATACAAATCAATCTATCAATAACTTAATCATGAAAATACAATATTGCCTTAAACAGGCAGAAAAGAAAAATGTCACAAACAAAACTATTAATAGCTTGAAGCCAAGAAAAAAATGGATCACCAAAGGCATAATAAACTCATGTAAAACTAAAGAAAACCTATATATTGAATTGAAATATAATCCTCACGATACAACAAAAAAAAATAACTATAAAAATTTTATCAAAATTTTAGATAAGATAATTACAATAGCAAAAGAAAATTACGATAAAAAAATCATAGAAATGGTGCAACATGATCCTAAGAAATTATGGTCAGTTGTCAACAACAAATTAGGGAGAAATACTCAAAATAACAAAACTATTGATTACATCACGGACAAAAATAATAGAATCACCAATCCAGAAGAAATTGCAAACAAAATGAACACATTTTTTTGTGAAATCGGAACGGAACTTAGCAATAATATAATACAACCGCAAAATGCAACGCTCAACCTCCCAAAAATAAACCCGAAAACAATATTTTTAAATTTTACAAATGAACAAGAAGTAAAGAAAATAATTGGCAGACTAAAAAACAAAAAAGGAGGAGTTGATGGAATTAATTCATTATTATTAAAATCATTAATCCACTACGTATCTGAACCACTTGCACTTGCTATAAATAAGTGCATTATTAATGAAACTTGGCCTGATGCTTTAAAAGAAGCGGATATTATACCAATCCACAAATCAAAAGAAAAACATTTAGCAAATAACTACAGACCTATTTCTCTAATCTCCAACATAGCTAAAATCTTTGAAAAAATAATACATAGAAGAATTCAATCTTTCATTGACAACTGTAATTTGCTTTCCACAAATCAATTTGGCTTTCGAAAAAACAGAAGCACAAAACATGCACTAAATTATATTTCAAGCAACATTTATGAACAATTAGATGCAAGTAAACCTATAGCAATAACTTTTTTGGATCTTGCCAAAGCCTTCGACACAGCTGACCACAAGATACTGTTACAAAAATTATACAACTATGGTATTAGGGGTAGTGCCTATAACCTTATCAAAAGCTATCTAACAAATAGAAAACAATGTGTGAAGGTAATTAATGCAAGTAGCGATAAACAAATAGTAAAAATGGGTGTTCCACAAGGAACTATACTGGGTCCGCTACTTTTCCTACTATACTATACATAAATGATCTACTAACGATACTACCAGAAAAATCCATACTATCTTTTGCAGACGATACAGCAATCATAGCAAAAGGTAAGAATTGGAAAGAAGCTGAAACTAATATGAACAGTTATCTAAAAATAGTGGGAATTTGGCTTGCTCTTAATAAACTATCTTTGAATATAGACAAAACAACGTACATGGAATTTGGAAATTATCATGACAGTACGCCAAAAAACCTGAAAATTGAAATCTTAGGACATCCAATACACCGAGTTGAAAACACAAAATATCTTGGAGTTACTTTTGACAGTAATATGAAATGGGATTTACATCTACAAATCCTATACCAAAAAACAAAATATCTAACATTTGTCCTATATAAGCTATCAAAAATAATGAATACCAGTACATTAAAAATGATCTACTACGCACTCTTTCACAGCATAATGACCTATGGAATTATAGCTTGGGGAGGAGCGTACACAGGTCGAATTAAAGTAATACAAAACTTGCAAAACAGACTACTAAAAATAATCTATAAAAACCAATTTGTGACACATGAATACCCACTTAACTTAGATTAATGCTTTTCATTGGAATCTCTATTATTCCACTACGATACTTTTAAGGACAAATATATTGGAAAAGAAAGAAAAACAAGATTCGCCTCAATCCAACACCCAAAAAGAACACTAACTATCAGCATAAAAAACAGTTATGTAAGAGCAATTATGTTATACAATAAACTACCAAATGACTTGAAAACAATTAACAACACGACAACTAGGAAAAACAAACTTAAAAAATGGATCAAAGGAAACACAATATGGCAAATAGATTAAACTGCAAAAATATAAAACAATTAATTGATCTCTATGGTACTCTGTATCCGACATCGGAAGTCCATGAGGATGCAGTAGACCACAACAAATTAATACTAGATATTAGAACATTTATTTGTGCAAATAACAATTGCAATTTATCTCCAGCAAGATTAACAAACTTAGAACGTGTCATCTACAAAAGAACCATGAATGCAACAACAGGATATTTCACTACAGACAGACAGATGCTAAATAGAACATGGGATTAAAATAACAAATCACGAATATCTTTATCCAAATTATTAATTAGTTTTAAGTATTAGTATTAGTTTATTAAACATGCCAGACCAGCGCACAGGAAGAAATTCCTCTGCTGGATTACATGTATTGTAATGTAATTGTATATTATTAATCATTATTAATGTATATTTACTCTGGACTTAAATAAATAAATAAATAAATAAATAAAAGGAGACTATGTTGGAAAATAAAAAAGATATATTAAAAAATCAAGTAGCATTTATTACTTTTACGTTTACTTTTTAAGCGACTCTCGTATGTCTTCTTTGAATATCTAAAATTTCGTTATGAATAGCAAGACTCGAAAGTTATGAACTATATTTTCATTCGTCTAATTTTCAAAGTAAATTAAACTGCTAATGAGAAAGATGTTATTGTCTTATTTTTTTTATTTGGTTCCGGAGGGTCAGAGCGCAGGAGGCAGAGGGCTGAGCCCCTTAGTACACACTCATACAGACACTTACCCACACGTATATATATATATATATTTCTAAAATATGATATACCATACTTACCAAACATACATAAAAAATGTAATTATATAAAATAGTCATATTTTTTAGCACAAAATTCAGCGCACGATTGATAGTTATTTGAATTCCCTAGCAATTTTCTAAGGTTGCGACTGTTATAACCTGTATTAATAAATATTGTATTGAATAAAGTGAAAATCGAAAAATACAGAAACTTATTAGTTCGTTGAAGAAAATGAATGAGAATCACTTTTTCAATTGAGAAGCCTAAAAATAATAATTAATCTGTAAATTAATCAGCGGTTATTCTTTATTGTTTGCTTTCGTGTGAGTGTATTCGTTATATTTTTCTTCTAATTTTGATTCGGAGAAACTGCTTATGTATATTTATTCAAGAATGTAGTACATAATTTATTAAGTAAAATTCACTGAAGGTTGATTCTATCGTAGATTAAAGATTTTTTTTAACTTTAGTAACATTTGAGTATCAGAGAGAAGCAAACAATTGTAACTTACAATATTCGATATTTATTCCTTGATTAACTTTTATGTAACATTTTTTAGTTTAGATCATTGTTTATTCAATGAGCGGACGTTTTCTAGTTTATGTGCATGTAAAAAATACATAATAAAATATACAAACTTATTTCAAACTAGTCTATTCTACTAAAGTATTTTATACGGTACATACTTTTTTGAATAATAAATTACAAATTTAAATTTTCTAGTAAAGGCACTAAATCTTGAAGTTTATTTGTTATTTGACAATCAGCATCATTCCATGGGCCATAATTCAAGTTGAAAATCTCTTCAGCTCTATTTAGAAGTCGTCGGGTTTTTTTCGCAGTATTTCTGAAATATAAAAATATATGAAAATGTTAAAGTACATAATGAGTTTTACAAGTTTAAAATTGGATACTATTAATTGCTAATTATGCTCTTCTTCGTCTAAAAAGAGCCGGAGATTTTTATTTTAAAACGGCTGAAATATCGTTTCGTAATGAATAGAATACACGGATTAATGGAACGTTGGAACAAGTATATTTTTTACCCGTAGTAATAATTTTCATTATTAGCATCATAAACATGAATGAATGTTAACTAGCGAGAGAACATCTCGCTCGCTACTAATTGATGGAAAGATTATCTTTTATTAAATCAAAATACGCAATCGGTCGGAGGGCGTGAATCTTCTGAGCGCGAGGTAGCTCCCTTTTGAACTTGAACCTGTTCCTCTAAAGAAGGCTCTTGAGGTATCATTTTCGTGAGCAAAAGGATGCTAATATTTATAATTAGCTTTCCCAAAGTTATATTTGCTTCTAACGGAGAATCATGGCTTGATCGAAATTCTACTGTTAGGTTCTCATAGACGTTCACACGCCATGCCAAACTGAGAGTGCCATAACGAGTGCTGTCGCTACTCGTTATGTCTCTCTCTCCCTTCTCAACCTTATATTATATTATATTAGTTATATTATTATTATAACATATATTTTGTTGTTCCCGATAGCTGACGCAAGGAAAGAGAGTCGGTCAGAGAGAGTTACAACAGTACATATTCTATTACATATCAAAATATCAAGTTTTTAGAGCAACATATTTGTTATGTTTAAGTTTTACTATATTTTAATTAAAAATTTCATGTTTTAATATGTAATATAATGTGTAATTTTTTTAGATTTTACATCTTTTCGATGGTAGTAAAAGAAAAAAAAAATTTAAGTAGAGACTGTCGTATTTATGAACATTGAGGACAGTTGATTTTGAACCTTTAGTATGCACATCGCCATTTCAGAGTTCAACTAAAGCTAATATTTGATTGAAGTGTAAGCTATAACGGGGATTTAGCCTAGTTTACCCTATAAATATAAAAAAGAAAGAAAGTATAAATGAGGAATGTCCGAGCGAAGTCTGGAGCCTCCTGGACTGTCCGTCTTCTCAGGTCCGGTGCTCGTCACGCCGGTGATAGGACAGCCGGATCCGCGCAGATTAGTAATGTTGGCCAAAGAACGCGAAAGTCGAAGATTCAAGAGCAGGGGTAGGCGCGAAAAAGCGGAACGTTTGAAGAAGGCGGCGGGATACGATTAAATAAAAGAAACTTACGATGAACAGTATTTTTAATCAACAACAGTTAACACGAGCGGTCGGAAGGAGGGAGAGAGCACGCTGAGAGAATGGATAGAGAGAGAGTAAGCCAACAAGCCGGTACTTACAATGACGGTGCTCGTCCTCTAGACGCGCAAACGAATCACACGGTTTGCGTTAATGAGGTCCTGCTCTACCAGCTACGACCCACGTGCGTAAATCTTCTACAGGGCCAGGCGACGTCGCAATTCTTCTCTGGATAAAGGAACAAGCTCCAAGATCGAAGAAATAGGGAACCGCCCGGTCATAACTAAGATCCGAGCAAGGAAAGTCGTCGAGACAAAGAACTCTGTACTCTCACTCGCGAGTCCACAGAACAACTCTCTAGCGTGTCGCCTGCTCGACTCTCGATTTCGTTCTCTCATGAGTCAATCAGTGCGCGCGGTCACTCGCTAAGTTGGGACTATGTCTCTCTCTCTCTCTCTCTCTCTCTCTCTCTCTCTCTCTCTCTCTCCGGTGCTTGAGAGGCTCGTTCATTTACAACTCTCGTCTTACCTGGACCGCCACAAGCTGCATGATCCACGGCAGGCGGGTTTCGTGCGGTTTCACAGCACCCAGACTGCTCTCCTGGGTATCCTGGATGACGTCCGCAGGGCTATTGAGGAGCGTAAAATTACAATCCTCGTCCTGCTGGATTTTCCAGGGCTTTCGACGTCATCCCCCATGGTCATCTGATGGTCAAGCTCAGGGACCTATGCCTGTCTGACACTGTCCTGGGATGGTTTTTTAGCTATCTGACTGACAGGTTTCAGGCTGTTATGGGGGAGGATGGCAGGGTGTCGGATTGGCTCAGGGTTGCTACTGGAGTACCGCAGGGTAGTTTTTTGGGACCATTGCTATTTGCAATCTTTATCTCGGACCTGCCCTCTGTTCTCTCCTTCATGAACTATATGCTATATGCCGACGACACGCAGGTCTATCTTTACTGTCATCCTAGCAGCCTTGCGGAGGCTTTGGAGAGGGTGCAGCTTGATGTGCAGGCTATAGCGGATTGGGCACTAGGAAACGGTATCTCCCTGAACCTCACCAAGACCAAGGTCATGATACTGGGCAGCGAACAGTACGTTAGGGCTATTAACTTGAATGACATCGTGAAGATCACCATCAACGAGGTTCCACTCGACTATGTTACCAGTGCTCGTAATCTGGGCGTGACACTTACTCCCACGTTAAACTGGTCCGAACATGTGAGAAGCGTGACGAGGAGGGCATACAGCTGTCTGGCTTCACTTCGTTTCCACAGGAAATCTCTCTCGACTACCCTCAGAAAAGTTCTTGTCGAGCAACTCGTTTTCCCACATTTCGATTACCTCTCAGTGGTTTGTATTCAGCTTGATGGAGAGCGCTCGTCTAAGCTTCAAGTTGCACAAAACGCCTGCGTACGCTTCGTAATAGGATGGATCCCTTTTATACCTTCTCTATCCTTAAACAGCCACATCACGCACCATAGACTAACCCTGGGCTGGCTATCCCTCACCCCAAATAGGTATAGAGCCCTTGCCGTTTTGGCCTACTCTGTTGTGTCCAGAAAATCGCCGCACTACCTGGCTAAAAACCTGTCTGTCCTGCTCGATGGTGTCATTATCCGGCGCTCGGGTCGCCACCCGCCGTCGGCGTTTGAATAGAAGGCCCCTCGAACTGAGGCATGGAACCATTCCTTTGCTATCCTTGCTCAGAGAATACTCAACTCACTGAGCGTGACCCTGTTCTCCACCGATCGGATCCCTAACTTCAGGGATTGGACCCGTGATCTATTCTTGAACTACGAGGCTAGAGCATGGATTGAGAGGGCCACTCGCGAGAAATTAATGCCGGTACCGGCACTATCCGATTATACTCGCATACCAAACAGGGTCAATCCAGCCGCGTTCTCCCAAAATTATCCATCGTCCCACACTTACCCCTCTATCGACCTATGGTTCATGAAATAGCTAATTGAATGGTTATTTTCTAGCCGAATGCACGTCGATCCACTTTTATACCTCTTTTCAGACCTTCCTTCTGTAAAACAGGTGCCATTCGCGTTTTTACTACTCTTGCTATTTTTATTATTTTTTACTACTTTTAGTATTTTGTTGTTACTATTTTTATTGTTTTCTTTTACCTTTATTGTCTTTATTATCTTAGTATTATTTTTCATCTTTTATTTTTGTTAACTTTGTCGTTTTATCTGATAACTCATTTATATTGTTCTTTATATATTTTATTTTACTATATTTTCATATTTTATTCTATTTTTATTTTTACATATATACTCTTAGTGTTTACTGTTAATGCCATTGGAAACTCGCTGCTCACCGTATATACTACTCACACAGTTTCACGTAATTCATCTTCTTCAAATAGTTTAATACGTCACTTTTCATCCTTGCATCTCCTCTTTTGTCATGTTTAAATTTTGTTATTATTTTGTTATGTACATTTTCCAAACTGCCAGACGGGGTTCCACCTCATTGGCGCAATAAACGAACTAATCTAATCTAATCTAATCTCCGCGCCTCGCGGTCGCGCACGGAGGTATCCCTGCATACTCGCATCTCTCTCTTACCTCACTTACCTTATATCCGAGCAGAAGGATAATTACATTTACAGATATAAATAACAATTGAATATAAACATAATAAATTCATAAATACATAGGATAAGTTCGGAAGAATATGTTACATTTACATATCGTTACTAGGGACAGAGAGATATAACGAGATTGCAATTTCACTCGTTATAAAGCTTACATTCTAATAGCTTATAAAAAGTGGATAGGTTGCTTTTTCTCAATCATTAGAATAAGCAATACATAAATTTTAATCTCTTAATTGAAAGTTATTAAATTCCATTAAGAATATATTTGTTATTAATGTTGCAAAAATATTTTTAACATTCATAAGTTTCGCAAAGGGCGTTTTACCGTACTCCTAAAAAGTATTATACAAGAGCTTAGTTCATATCTTAGCAAAGAAGACCGGCTTTGTCAATCTTGTAAAAAAAAGTGTACTGTAAGATGTACTAAAAAATGTACGGAAAGAAAGAAACTTGGTGAGATATCAACAAATATTGGTAGTTATGTGAACAATAATAACAAAGCAGAAATTGATTAATGCGTCAACTATATCTGTCATAATGAAAATTGACAAGAAGTAGAATCTATGAAAATAGATTCAGAGACAATTGACGTTGATAGTGAGGATTCAGAATTGTGCATCAGTTTTTCTATATATAATTCAATCAAACTTTGTCAATCGCCAAATAGAGAGATAACGATTTAAAGGTAACGATCTTAAAAATTTTGTAGTGAAAGCCACAAATGATTTCAGTTTGAAATTGCAGTTACCGTCTTTAATCTTAGCGGATCTAAATAAAACGTCGTGTAGCAGAAGAAATAATCAATGCTGTATCTATTTATTTAAAAACTTCATAATAAAAGACTATAAAAGTAAACAATGTGACGAGACAGCTTATGGCATATTAATTAAAGAAATTGAAACAAAATTTGAAAATATGAACGATCAAGTGGAAAAAACTCCAATATTAACGATTTTACCTACTCTAAGTATAAATACAATTCAATTGGTCAAACAATAAGTACCAGTGGCTAAGTTACGTCGAATTCGTCGCCAACCCCCGAGAATGATTCGGCACCAGTACGCAACAGCAACAAAGGCTGTTGCAGGAAGCTCAGAATCGATTATAGGGTAAAGAAGAATTCGTGA